TGCTGCATGGGTGACAGCTTCTCCCCCGTATCAACCTACCCTGGCTGTGCTGCCCTGGAGAGGCCACTCCAGACCGACAATCAGAGAGAAAATCCATAGTCTCCTGAGACTGATGGATGCCTACTACAGTGTTGACAACATTGATTGATTGATAAAGATTAAGCCACCCAAGAGGTGGCACGGGCACGAATAGCCCGTAAGAGGTACAAACAACAGGTTGAGTAAGGGTACATATAACCTCTGGAACGGTGACAGGAAGTAGTAGAGACGTCGGACCAGCCTGAGGGTCGTTTTTGGTGACCCAGAATGCGTCTCAGGCGTTCTGAGACGGCCCCTTCCCTCCTTTTCTTCTTTCCTACCTCCTCCACTTCATATTCAGGAGGCAGTGACGGTGCTTACCCATCAAAACTTGGTGTCGACGCTGGAGACCTTTTATAAGACTGAAAGAATTGAGCGCGGCTTCTCCCCTGGCCACTGTTTGGCAAGGGGTAGGGGGCAGCGCCTTGTGGAAGGGGTCTTCACGGGAGTGACGGGTGACACTTGGGGGGTGAGCGGGTGACGCGTAAGAGTTGCTATCCCCCTTACTGTGTTGACATTTTCCCCAGCAAGGTCTCCTAGCGTCGTCGACACCATCTTGGTTTCCGAAGATGATGCCCCCAAGCTCTTGGGATTGTGGCCGACGAATCATTAATGCCGGCGCTATTTCGGGAGGGTGAGGAAAGAGACAGGTTTCTTGTTTTAGTTTTTAACGGCAATTTTTAACAAAGTCTCTTGATGGAGGTTAACCTGGGTAGTGAGGTTTGGGCAGGTTAGCCTGGGTAGTGAGGTTTGGGAAGGTTAACCTGGGTTGTGAGGTTTGGGCAGGTTAACCTGGGTAGTGAGGTTTGGGAAGGTTAACCTGGGTTGTGAGGTTTGGGAAGGTTAACCTGGGTAGTGAGGTTTGGGCAGGTTAGCCTGGGTAGTGAGGTTTGGGCAGGTTAGCCTGGGTAGTGAGGTTTGGGCAGGTTAGCCTGGGTAGTGAGGTTTGGGCAGGTTAGCCTGGGTTGTGAGGTTTGGGCAGGTTAGCCTGGGTTGTGAGGTTTGGGCAGGTTAGCCTGGGTTGTGAGGTTTGGGCAGGTTAGCCTGGGTTGTGAGGTTTGGGCAGGTTAGCCTGGGTTGTGAGGTTTGGGCAGGTTAGCCTGGGTTGTGAGGTTTGGGCAGGTTAACCTGGGCAGTGAGGTTTGGGCAGGTTAACCTGGGTTGTGAGGTTTGGGCAGGTTAACCTGGGTTGTGAGGTTTGGGCAGGTTAACCTGGGCAGTGAGGTTTGGGCAGGTTAACCTAGGTAGTGAGGTTTGGGCAGGTTAGCCTGGGTAGTGAGGTTTGGGCAGGTTAGCCTGGGTAGTGAGGTTTGGGCAGGTTAGCCTGGGTAGTGAGGTTTGGGCAGGTTAACCTGGGTAGTGAGGTTTGGGCAGGTTAACCTGGGTTGTGAGGTTTGGGCAGGTTAACCTGGGTTGTGAGGTTTGGGCAGGTTAACCTGGGCAGTGAGGTTTGGGCAGGTTAGCCTGGGTAGTGAGGTTTGGGCAGGTTAGCCTGGGCAGTGAGGTTTGGGCAGGTTAACCTGGGCAGTGAGGTTTGGGCAGGTTAACCTGGGCAGTGAGGTTTGGGCAGGTTAACCTGGGTTGTGAGGTTTGGGCAGGTTAACCTGGGCAGTGAGGTTTGGGCAGGTTAACCTAGGTAGTGAGGTTTGGGCAGGTTAGCCTGGGTAGTGAGGTTTGGGCAGGTTAGCCTGGGTAGTGAGGTTTGGGCAGGTTAGCCTGGGTAGTGAGGTTTGGGCAGGTTAACCTGGGTAGTGAGGTTTGGGCAGGTTAACCTGGGTTGTGAGGTTTGGGCAGGTTAGCCTGGGTTGTGAGGTTTGGGCAGGTTAGCCTGGGTTGTGAGGTTTGGGCAGGTTAGCCTGGGCAGTGAGGTTTTATTGGAAAACGCGCAACACTTCATGAGGCCAAATTAGAGTCGTTAAACCTCTCTGAACTCTGACACAGTCTAACGGAAAGACCTTGAATATATTGTTTGGGCAGAACCCTAGAGGCCTACATGCGCATAGCGCGGAAATTGCTGCGCATATTGCACAATCCACTTAATAAACTGCATGGAACAGTAGCAGGGTGGCAGTGTGGAACAGTAGCAGGGTGGCAGTGTGGAACAGTAGCAGGGTGGCAGTGTGGAACAGTAGCAGGGTGGCAGTGTGGAACAGTAGCAGGGTGGCAGTGTGGAACAGTAGCAGGGTGGCAGTGTGGAACAGTAGCAGGGTGGCAGTGTGGAACAGTAGCAGGGGTGGCAGTGTGGAACAGTAGCAGGGGTGCCAGTGTGGAACAGTAGCAGGGGTGCCAGTGTGGAACAGTAGCAGGGTGGCAGTGTGGAACAGTAGCAGGGTGGCAGTGTGGAACAGTAGCAGGGTGGCAGTGTGGAACAGTAGCAGAGTGGCAGTGTGGAACAGTAGCAGGGTGGCAGTGTGGAACAGTAGCAGGGTGGCAGTGTGGAACCGTAGCAGGGTGGCAGTGTGGAACAGTAGCAGGGTGCCAGTGTGGAACAGTAGCAGGGTGGCAGTGTGGAACAGTAGCAGGGTGGCAGTGTGGAACAGTAGCAGGGTGGCAGTGTGGAACAGTAGCAGCTACGTTTAATCTACGGTATCTTCTCCCTCCTCACCCCCGATTACATGGAAAGGGTCTTGGGAGCTCTTTTACTCCCCGAGCCCGGCCTTATAGCTTGGTCCAACAGGCTGTTGCTTGCAGCTGCTCGTAGACCCCACATATCCACTACAGCCTGGTTGGTGCGGTACTTCTTGCAAGAACTTACCTAATTTGTTCTTGAAGAAATCCTCCTTAGTAGTAACAAGTAGTTTGAATATTTACAGTTATGAAAGTATTATATTACGTTACTGCTAATGGTGCCTCTTTAAATGACTCGCAAACTGACGTTTCTAAAAATTCAAACTGAATTTCTAACTAAAATTCGCCGGGTAATGAACGCATCGTCTCGTACGACACTCAAGAAACGAGTCTTCAACACCGATGTCTGGGGCAAGATTCACGAAAGCACTTACGCAAGCACTTACGAACTTGTACATCTTTTCTCAATCTTTGGCGGCTTTGTTTCCAATTATTAAACAGTTATTGAGCTCCGAAGCACCAGGAGGCTGTTTATAACAATAACAACAGTTGATTGGGAAGTTTTCATGCTTGTAAACTGTTTAATAAATGTAACCAAAGCCGTCAAAGATTGAGTAAAGATGTACAGGTTCGTAAGTACTTGCCTAAGTGCTTTCGTGAATCTGGCCCCTGGATGGCAGAATACGCCCATTTGCTGTTGATTCGCGCGAAGGCATTCCCACTCAAGCTGCTTTGATTCCCGACCCTAGCCGGGAAAGGGTGATGGAAAAGGAGGCGTTTGATCCCCCGGGTCGAGCCAAGCTGGTTAAGGGTCTACAGGTTCAAAGGTTAGAGGTGAAGCTGGTTGCCGTCGACGGAGGTTCTGACGAGCGGCGGGACCCGAAGAATGATTTTTCAGGGCCGTTGGTGGAGGCGGAGGTTGAGGCCCGAACCGGTCTCTAATGCCAGTTCGGCGTTCAGTCCCCCGACCGTCTTAAGTGGTTGGACACCATTCCTTCCCCCCCCCCCATCCCAAGTCCTTATCCTGATCCCCTTCCCAGTGCTAGATAGTCGTAATGGCTTGGCGCTTTTTTTCCCCTGACACTTCCCTCCCTCCCTCTAACCCCATCCATGTCCGTCCCGTTGTTTCAGTACTACGTTGATTGTGGTTATTGAACAGGAATGATTGTACACATCTTACTCTCGCTTTGTGTGTGTTTCTCATTTCTTTACTAATCCTTTCTTTTACTCTTGTCTTTTCCTTTCTCCTCCTCCTTCCCGAACTTCCAGTTACACCTGGCAGCACATGTCCTTTGATCACCACTCATTCCGCCCCGTCACACCTCTGCCCGATCGTCAATACCCGACCCAGTGAATAGCCACCCTACCATCGGGAGCCCTCTGTAAATGCTGGAGTTGTGAGCATATCCGCAATAACCTGGCGTCTCCTGCTTCACCAGGGAGGAGGGGGGGGTGAGATTTACTCAACCACTTGTTGAGAGAGAGAGAGAGAGAGAGAGAGAGAGAGAGAGAGAGAGAGAGAGAGAGAGAGAGAGAGAGAGAGAGAGAGAGAGAGAGAGAGAGAGAGAGAGAGAGAGAGAGAATAGAGAGAGAACAGAGAGAAGTAATTGAAAGTTTTCATTGAGGAAACTTCTAAAAGTATTGCGGAGTGCTTGTGTGCACTCATTGCTACCTGGAGCCACGTACCTATTAATGGAGTGCGAGTTGCATTAGTTTGCACTCATTCCCTCGTGCATCTACTTGCGGTGGCTTAATCTTCATCAATCAGTCATTTACAACGCCCCGCCAACTTGAGAGCAACAAGACCTCTCTGACGGTAATGGAAAAAGGCGACCACGGTGGTCAAGGGAGTGAGAGCTAAGATTCTAATACTTCAGGGAAATAAACTGGACAACGACAGAATGCCTAAGGATGGTGATGATACAAGGAGAGCAAAAGTCGTCGACACGGTAGGGAAAACAGCAAAAATCACTTGAAGCAACATATAGTGAGGACCCACCAGCAACTCTTGATCCAATTTGTTTACCTCAAATGAGGAACGTTCAGTACATAATGGAGCTCAAGGTGAGAGTCCTCCCGAGAAACAGGTTGAGGAAGGCGAGAGATTACACAGTCCTGTATAATTAACCATCCTGTGCGATGAGGATTTTAGAAACACGTAGCATTACAGACTTGAGAACTACCGGAGAGTGAGAACTTGCCTAAAAGGCATTTACCATAAGGAAATTTGAGGGAAATCCAACACCTTCTCATCAGTGGATGAGAAGAGCAAAGTTATCCCTTGTATTCAGTGTAGGGAAGAGGGGTGGGAAGTGATAAACGAGGCACTAAAGACAGAAGGGAATACACGGGAGTCGGAAGAGCAGTGGCAAAAAACTAGGAACCAAACAAAGGACCGGTTGTATTACCATATTCTGAAGAAAACAGTTAAGACACCATGTGATCAGACAAAGGTGTATTCCTACTTTAAGTAAGAGTTGTGTACAGAACTCGTCGAGAGGTTCCAGGTGGTAGGAAAAAAATTGGCGTCAAATGCAACGAGTTAAAAAAAAATTTTTAAGGAACTAGATACACAAAGGTAATGGGACAGGCTTGATATCACCATAACTGCTAAAGTCTCCTGCTAAGATTTTCAATAAAACATTCAAGACAGGAGATCTCTCTGAAATCTAGAAAAGTTAAACGTATTACAAACGGGGGACATACACGTGACACTAAATTATAGGCTAGCGTCAATGACATGCATTCATTGCAGTGTACTGGAGTAAGTAATTAGGAGGAAAGATAATGGAGTAGGTTAAATCATGCCCAGCTGTTAGTCAAACACAATTCCATTAACCGTCTCCTTCTCAAAGATCGCTCCGTTTTTCACAACCTAAATCATCATCTACAACTTGTACTCCTCTACAGCCTACTCCTTCCATCACCTCCACAATACATTCCATCTTCTTAACACCACAAACAGGATATCATTAACAGCATAGTGAGGCTGGCAAACATAAACACTGCATTAAATAGCTTAACAAGGACTCTTAAGACTACACAGGCTAGGTAAGACCCAACCCAGAATACCCAGCATGGAATCGTATTAAAATGCTGCTTTAAACAAAAATACAGAAGTTTGCAACAATTGCCAGTACTCAATAGAACTGGTCGTGGGAACACTCTGAGGAGAGAAGAGATATGGGAAAAAATTTACAATACTTAGTGGAAAAGACAAGGTAGATACAGCGAGGTGGATAGACAAGGTACAAGGTCAGACTTTGTAAATTGATAGAAAATAAAACTAGAGGATATTACTGGCAGCTGGAAACGCAAATGAGCCGTAGAGATGTACGAAAGTATTCGTACCCAGTATGGGTGGTCAGTAAGTGGAATAACACCGAGAGAAGTTGTGGAAGCCACCTCCACCTACAACAGGTACAACAGACGAAGCATAAAGTGGAAGTTGTCATTCTATTTCTTCCACATCCAACACCTGCCTGTCTTTACTATCCAATTCTGAACCACCACCACCACCCCACTTTTTGTTCTGTCTGTCTACACATCTACCACCACCACCCAGCACCACCACACCACCACAACTCCCACCTCCTGGCAGCCAGCCCAGAACTTCAGTAACGAGGTCTGGGCGAGACTGGAAAAGGGGAAAAGAAGGCAACAGCTCTGAATTCAGCAGTTCATGGATGGGACTCTGCCAGGGAGGATCCTGGGGGTGGGGGGGTCACCGTGAGTGCCTGGACAAGGACCAAGCTCTCTTCACAATTTACAGCATATTGATTAACTGGGAAAGGTCAAGGGGCTCCTTTATTATTACGTCAGAATAGGGTTTTAGAGAGCTGGCTTTTTTCGGGTGGAGGGATGGGTTTTTAAGAGAGCTGGTTACATTCACTTGGACAATCGGAGCCTCGAACACAGGACCACAAAATTGGTAGACTGTAGTTCTACCAACCAGGCTGCTAAGCTACTCACAATAAGGAAGAGTTCCAAAGAGAATTGGCATACAGTTGGGATTTGTTTATTGTTGCCGCTGGAGGCGGCTAGTTTATTTTGCACCCTATACTCATCCTGTGAGCAGTAGCGCAAAAAGGATTAGAGGGCACAAAAGGACTTTAATCAGACCTCAACGGAGATTATTACATCAACAATTGTATGCCTTGCCTAGGGGTGCCAACTAACACCTCCACACTCAAGTGGCACCCCAGGAAAGGCTTGAAGACCCAGTTGGATACCAGCTGGCTCTCTCTGGGACCCCTTCCTTATTGTGGGTAGCTCAGTAGCCTGGTTGGTAGAACTATAACTTCCGTGTTTGTGGTCCTGTGTTCGAGGTGGTTTGCAATTCATGAGGGTAGCTTGTTTTTTTGGGGTTGGAGGGTTGGGCTTTGGGGAGGTGGCTTGCTGTTTTGGGTTGGAGAGTTGGGTTTTAAGGTTAAGGCTTGTTCGTTAAGGTTATGGTGGTGGTGTTTTGTGATGCTCTGCAGAATACTGTGTTTCATAATTCGTTGTTGTTGTTTTAAATTTAGCTACTCAGAACGAAATGTCCATGTAGCACGGGCTATAGTGAGCCCGTAACCGAGTTCAGATATTCGCGATAACCTTGTTACTGTGATAGGAATAATTCGTTTTCACATCATAGTGTGGTGGTGTGGTGTATAGACTGTCGGGTGGGATGATAAAAATCTGAACACACAGACACACTGTATGCGAAATCGATAGTTGTATACAGAATTTGTTATTGCTTGCAAAATTGTGTTGCACGCACGATTTGCATTCTGGCTTTGCTAATACTGTGTTGTGGTTCTCGAACATGCAAGCACACTGGCTGCTTGCGGACTAGGCGGACACGCTACACGCTTTACACGCACCCTAAGGCACCAGGGACGAGGGAGGAGGTGGTAGGGAGGGCATGGTAGGGAATGGGGGTAGTGTTGGGAGCGAGCAAGAGTCGTTAAGTCATGCCAAGTTCACCTTCAAAGTGCTTCGATGGCATCACCAACGAGGAATTTCGGTTTGGTCAAGGAGGTTCAGCTTACGATCATTGGTTGAATTCACGTAACATTCTGATACAATAGAAATTCACTTAGCGAGGCGGAGGCTCAGATTCACGAAGCAGTTACGCAAGTACTTACGAACGTGTACATCTTTCCTCAATCTTTGACGGCTTTGGTTACATTTAATAAACGGTTTACAAGCATGAAAACTTCCCAATCAATTGTTGTTGTTATAAACACCCTCCTGGAGCTTCGGAGCTCATTACTGTTTAATAATTGTAAACAAAGCCGCCAAAGATTGAGGAAAGATGTAAACATTCGCAAGTACTTGAGTAACTACTTCGTGAATCTGGCCCCCTGGTCAAATGTTTAGGCGACTGAACTTTGAATCGTCTGGAAAGTCAGAATGGGTATAAGAACAGTTTTATCTTGGTCGACTTAGTGCGTCTCCCTACGACTGAACTTGCCCAGGATGCAACCCAAGACAGTTCCGTAACTCCCCCGGTATATATTTACTGCTATATGAACCGAAACGTAGGGGCTCATGAAACGGCCCCAAACGTCTCCGTCCCGCGCAATAATCGAACCAGATTCCTTTTGGCAATGAACCAACTGTGCGCGCATGCAGCAACCCGTCCTCACTAACAAAGGCTGGGTTAATGAGCTCGTTAATCCAACCACCAAATCCCCTGTTTATGAATGAAAAGCACTTTACACAAGACTCTTAACCACATAACTCGTATTTTCCTCGAGCAGTGCTTCGTTCACGACCTCTGCTCGAATTGCACTTCTAAATGCTTCGCCGACGTACGGCAAATATCAATAATGGTCAATAGAACTTAACCACCAAAATTGGGCGTAACTAATTAACACCTTCTAGTATAAAGCATTAAATTGTATTTAAGAAAACAACAATACTAAATACGTAGTACGTTAAAATTGATGAATGTGTCTTTGGATTGGGCCTCCGCCATGACGAGCCGAGCCTAAGGACAGGTTGCGTGCCGCTGAGTTTCTAATTTGTTTTCAGAAAACTTAAATGTAACACGAGTTGTTTTTCTTCGGACGTTTGTAGGGTGTGTTGTGGAAGTTGCTGTAAACAACGGTAGCTGTGAGTTTTTTTTTTCAACACCTGTCAAATTTTGAAGCACGGGGGTGTACTACGTTTTGTAATATACATTGAGTGTTGTTGGTTGTATTCCGGTGTAATTAATGCCATGTTTTTGCAGGAGTTATTATTGATTTTCCGAGTAACGTGTACATGTTACGTGTTCCGTGGGCCTATGCAGAGGACCGTTCCTGTAGTCACACGAGAATTGTGGCTCCCGTAGAACGGTGGGCCGCATGAGGCTTTCCACTTCTTGCTGTGATTCCCTGTGATATACACACGCCTTGTGAATGTCGCCAATTGAAACACTAGTTAAAAAGCGTTTTGTATATTCAGTGCTCTATAGTCCATGAACAGAAAATCAAGTTTTAAATCATTGTGATTCACTGGATGCTTGGATTTTATTTTTCAAGAAAAATCACGTTTTGGACAAGGGCAATTGGGAATATATATTGAAAATTATATTTTTACTTGCGGATAAGGTATATTAAAATGGTGGCTTTATCCATAGTGTGGGAAACCGTGTGATCCTTCGCGAGCCCCAAGAAGATAGGCTGATCATTATTACAGCTGTTGATGTGCGAGGCTATGGGAACTACATTTATTACATAATCAATAAGGCGCGCGATCCAGCCGGCCTTGGCAGTGATAGACGGCCTCCTCCGCCACAGTCCTGTGTCGGAGGGGGTTCCGGGGACAATCTCCGTCCTCCTCCCCCCCCCTCCCACACACACACAAAAGGATGAAGTGAGGCTGTAAAGATGTGACCAGTCCACCCGCCAGACATTGAGATCCGGCGTTTCCTCCTCCGCTCTGTCGAGGCAACTCCTGGTCTCAAGACTTGGAAGTGTGTAAAGACTTTATTGGCAGTGTGCACATATCGTTGAGTCAGTAATATACACATTTAAGGAAAAATCACAAATTTGGAATTTGTTGTATCTGATTCTTCATTGAGTGTGCTAGTTAATTGTGAACATTACAGACAAAAATGGTAACAAAATAATGCAATTTTAGAGACGAAAAAGAAATCGAAGAGACATTTTGAATAATGATAGGGGTAACTGAAGAAAATTCAGAGCCGTCCCAGTTAAAAGTTCCAGAGACCTATCAAAACAGCAGTTGTGTTGATAAGTGTCGTCTCCATTGTTGTCCATTGATCTCCAAGCATTGTAGCGTTGCAACTCCACCGTTCTCGTCCACCATGTAGGTAGTGGCACAATGTTGCGTCTCCACCATTTGCGTCCACCAAGTGATGTAGGTGATGCA